TTACGGATGGTCTTTCCAATGAGATGTTTTTTATGCATATGACAATAATGTTAATCAAAATTACGCACATGAAATACTTAGAACGTTTCGAGTCTCATCCACTCATTCTAAATCATTGCCGAAACAAATTCAGGAATTAAAATAGAAATCCTCCCCAGTGGAGTCGCCAAAAACTGTAGGGAATAATTTCAAGCGTTAATTCCCTAGCTTGAACCCCACTGTGATCATACACTTAAGTACGGTGGCGTCCAAAAGGGAAGAAGATAGAGCAAAAGAGTCGCCAACAAGTTTTAGGAACTTGTAAACCGTTCACAGGGTGAAGGTTACACCCCTTAACGATCCAAGAGATCGTCAACTCTATAAGGTCTTGAACCAAATAAGGGTTTGGGGATGAAGGTACAAATCCAACCTAAAAGAGATTGAACCTGCCCTAATAATAGGCCTCTACTTTATTCAGATCGTATTCATGTGCGCTTTCTGACTAACATGCAATCAATAGGATTACCCTAAACCTGTTTATCTATGTTGGTTGAATTTTAATGCACAAATAAATCTATTATTGGCGATCACTTGAAATTATAATCATAATAACCCTAAACAAGATTATTAATTATCTTATTAAGCGTGATTACAGATACCAAATTCCCTTTAAACATGCATAAAAGGTGTGATCAAGCAATAAAAATAAATATCAAACAACATACTAATAATCATAAAAATAATAATAATCATCATCAAAATAATAATAATAATAATAATAATAATAATATTCATAATCATCAGAAAAATAACAATTATAATCATAATCATGTTCATGTTAATATTAAAGCATAATAATAATAGCAAGATCCTAGGCATGATACTAACAAAATTAATAACAAATCCTAGCATGTCACTAAGCAATAAAAATCAAATCTTTAACCCTAGCATGATACTAACAATCATAAATATTAGGAAGAACATAGGAAGCATCGCAGGAATCATAATAAGCATATTTGATATTAAAACTACCCTAGACATGATACTAGGAATATCATAATAACAATATAAACATGATTTCTATATCATAACATCAATAAATCATTAAAGCACTTACTTTGATGCCTCGTACCTCTTTCTAATAACAAAATACACACGTTAGTAACTTCAAGGAAAATAATAATCAAACAAACAATTAAATAAAATAATTAAAATAGAGATTTGGGACCAAACCCTCAGAAATTAAACCTTTCACGTCTAGGGCGAAGGCAACTTCGAATATGGCTAGGTGTTTCTAGATCTAATGAATGCGGAATTTTGTATGTGAAAAGCAAGTTTTAAAGAGAAAGAGAAAGATGAATTGATTAGGGAAATCTTAAGGAGAATTAGCGAATGATTAAAGAGAATGAGAGAGAATTGAAAACTGATTGTAGGTGAATGAAAACAGAGTTTTTAATACGTTATTTATAGAGAAAATCAGCCAAAAAGATAAATTAACAGAACAGAGTCCTAGCGCAACTGAAACAGAGCTGGCGCCAACCCTGGCTAAGTGGCGCTAGGCGCCAATGGCTGGCGCCAGGCGCCAGGCCTACCTCTAGGCGCCAATGCCTAGAGTCAGGCGCCAGGTCTGTTTTTGACGCGTTTTCGAAAATCAGATAAATTTGCCGTACTGGAGGATAAAATTGGATCTTTTCCTCAAAAATGCTATTTTATTTTAATCAAAACTCTGAAAAGTCAACAAAAGTCAATTTATCAATGCTAATTGAATTACGAATGAAAAGAACTTTCTAGAAGAATCTAGAAGACTAAAACCATTCCTAATTGCATTAGGAATGATAAATCATATTAGGCCCTCCTCTAGATCATTGGGCCGCATATAAGGCTCAAACCGGGCCCAGTTTGGTAAATTGGCCATAACTTCTTCAATGTTCATCGAAATTGGGCTTATAATATATCGTTGGAAAGCTCTTGTCAAGCCCCATCCAAATACACTACTATTGGACCCATATCATTGACCAAAAAAACTGGATTGGCTGTTTTCTTAAAATAAGTTTTCAAAAAACAAAGAGAAGAGAAAAGAAATTAAAACTATCCGCAACACTAGACTTTCCACACTTTCACTTCATTCGATTATGATTCGACGTGAAAGGTACTCATCACTGGGTTTGGTTTTGGGGAGACACAAACGGGTGTCTACACATAGTTAGGAGTTAAATTTTATTTTATAAATGGACAAGTTTTAATTGAAGTAATAAATTGAAACAGTTATTATGGTTTTTCCTTTTATTAATAAAATTTAGTTATTTTTCGCTACAACTTGAGTATTTATTTAAGCCTTATGTTTTCACGTGGAGGTAATATGCCCAAGTCTATCTCTACGGTATTTGTATACGTATAAATATAGTATTTACGTAGAGGGAGAATTGGGGGTGTTACAGAGGTGGTTCGTGTTGGGTTTTATGATGTCTGACACCGCGCGGGAACAAAACCCGCAAATGATCGCATGCATAATTAATACAACTAAATAACCTAACATGTAATCATTAAAAGTAATAAACACATAAACATTGACAAGGGAAATAAACACATTGTCAGGTGTCTATCCCTAGATCAAATACAATTTATACAACCTAAACAAACCTAATACGAGTATAAGGCAAGCATAGGGGTCGAACCACAGGGAACGAGTAAACACTACCAAATGCTATCAACAACTAAGCTAGTCCGGAATAGGAGCTAAGTAAACTAAAGTCTAAAGATGCTAAAACAAGAAATAAAACACTAAGGGAATGGTTTAGGTATATCATTCACTTGAACATAAACAAAGGCATAGAAGTTGAATTAATTATGAAATAAACATGCTCGAATATCAATATAAGAGGTCCAATCCAGCCACCTGTCGGGGTTCATTGGCTTCTCCTAACATAGCCTCTATGCTTCCACATTAGAACCATATACTAGGAGGTGGTATCAAATAAAAAAATCGATACAAATGAATCTTTCTAGGTCTGCTATCACATCTTCTAACAATAATTCACTCCCAATCAACTAACAACATGCATTTTGCAAGTAGATTGAAGAATATCAAGCACATAAAGACTTTAATCACAAATAAATCAATTCCAAACCCTAGAACATGCTCAAGATCCATCTACACCACAACCATCCCCTTAATCGGGGAAATTACTCACTAATCATGATAATAACAAGATTAATTAACAAATAACCAAAAATCAACATGATTAACAAGAAACACTAACAACTAAAATAACAATCAAAAGAAAGCATATAAAATAGAGGAGAGAGAGTTAGAGATTCTCATTGATTGAAGATGAAAGTCTACAAACAAGATGATCAATCTTCTTCTTCAAAATCCAAGCTCAACAATGGTGAAACCCTCACTTTCTCTCTCTAAACTACTTTAATACTAAGCTAACCCTAGAAAGAAAAGCTCTCCTAAAACTAATTAAGAAAATAGAATAAATGGTTCCTTTTAATCACCCCAAAAATGGGTATATATACTAACTTAAGAAAATAGAAAAATTAAATAAAAAGAAATAAAATAAAAAGTGTAAATAGAAAAATAAAGAAATAAAATGAGAAATAAAAAAGAGAAAAAAATAATAATAAGGAAACAAAACCCACTAATTAAATCCCCAAAACCGACCCTTCTCTTTCATCTTTCATTTGGCTGCTCTGTGATCTTCATCACTAACGCATCACACCATCATCAACGGACATAATCAGCCCAAATCGAAGATCAACGGTAATCACCAAGCTTCCCTGTTTGACCTCATTAATTATCATGTGCGAAGCTCGTGTAATGGTTCGATCGAACCAAAGGTTGGTTTGGCCGACTATGGGTGGTTCGATTGAACCATGGGTGTGTTCGACTGCACCTACTCAAATAAGAAAACTTCATATTTTCTTAGAGCTAGACCCAGGCAATCAGCCTGATTTACAAAAATTTGTAAATCAGCGCTTTTCGTGGGCCCCACAGCGTACTTCATATTATTTTTATATTCGTTTCTACTGTTTGTCGTTAAAGACGGATATCTGCCGTTATGGTGGGCCCTTAAACTTGTCAATTAACGTCTTTAACAACAAACGGGAAAGAAACATTTTTAAAAGTATGAACATCTATCTTGGAACGCCATTGTCATCCCAAATTCCCAATTGCTATCATTCAGATCTGTTGGAAGATCAGTCTAGGGTAACGACTATGACAAAAGGGAAGGTTGTCGATCTACTCAAATAACCTGCTTACCCTTAATTCAAGTATTTCACTTCAATTTGAATGTACTTGTTAGATCTGTGTTTAGGTATCGTGTGTTGAACGGATTGATTTATTTGATACAAAATTATATGATTGTTAATTTTCTGGATACAATTACCCAATTTTGGCAATTTGTAGAATATAATGGTGTGTGGTAGAAGATGGTAATTCAGGGTCTTGTCTGTTAATTTATCAGGTGCATCATTATTTTCAATACATTAGGGAGACGTCAATTATATGTTCCTAAAAGTTATTTTATGTTTCTGTATGATATTATATGTTCCTATTTGTAATTACATGCTCATATATGTTAAATTAATCAGATCAGCATCTTAATTTATTTGATTAAGAAGTTTAGTAATAATGTTGTCATGTTTTGTTTAATTCTGTATAATGCATACATTTTGATATTTAGTATGATCAATTCAAGCTAGTGTCTGATTTGTTTGGTTGTATCATTTTTATTTTCATAGTGATGTTGTATTTCCCCAATTTATTTAATTTCGGTTTGTTTGTGCGCTTAAACTATGGTTTCACTGTTTGTGACTCAATTATGTTCATGTTGATTGGGCCTAAACTATATGGTTTGATGTTTTGCATTTGCCTATACTATTTGATTGTTCATATTGATGGTGTCTTTTGATAATATCTTAAGGTTGTGTCAGTTTTTGTTTGATTAGTTCATTCAATCTATATTTTTACAATGGTCTGAAGATTTGAAATAGGTATTAAACATCAATACACAATGGATGAGAATAGTAATGGAACAAGTGAGATTGAGGAGACATTAACCATCAGTGATCCTACGTCAGAATGTGATGTTGCTGTTGTGGCTGGTGAGGCAGGGCCCTCTTCGGAGTGTGTACCTAATTCTTTGATTATGTCTCCAATTAAGACCATAGAGACAGTGGAAACAATAGTCTCAACCAATAAGGTTTCTGTGTATGCTACCGTTGAAAGTCCTAAAGTTGGTATGGTATTTAAATCATGGAAAGAGGTTGAGTCATATTACAAAGAGTATGCTCAGCAACAAGGATTTGGTGTTACTAGGTGTCAAGGATATATGTCGAAGAAGAATAAGGAGAGGCGGGGGACTACTTGGAGGTGTGAATGTTGGGGTTATCCTGATACGAGGGCTAGGCGTGCAGCGAACAAGAGGGATAAATCTATGGATGTCAGTGGGACTGGTATAGTCGATGGACTCATTGGTGAGGATGAACTTTCTCGCTCAAAAAGGACATCTAAGAAATGTGAGTGTGGTGCCATGATATATGCTAGTGTCAATGCAGAGGGTCTTTGGGAGTTGCGAAAGGTTTGCCTTGTACATGTGCATAAAGTTTCCCCGACTAAGTCCAAGCTAGTGAAGGAATATCGTATGAAAAAGTTAACAACAAACGTTAGGAAGAATTTAATACAATTCTATGACGAATGGTCCCAGTAACCCAGATACATGGTTGTTTGGGGTTGGACAAAACTGAAGAAATTGTGCCTACAGTAAAGGATTTACAACATGAGGTGTACAAGGAGAGAAGGGCGCGCTTGAATTTCGCAGGTGGTGATTGTGCTGCTATGATGGATTACTTTGAGAAGATGCAAGCCGATAACTCTAACTTCTATCACACACACCGTTTGGATGAGGATGGCCAGATGAAAGATGTGATGTGGGTGGATGCTCGTAGTAGGGCGGCTTTTGATTATTTTGGAGATGTTGTGTGCATGGACGCCACATATCTTACAAATGAATATGAGCTCCCCTTTATTAATATTGTAGGTGTCAATCATCATGGCCAATCAATATTTTTGGGGTGTGCTCTCGTGTCACATGAAGATACGAACACATATTCTTGGTTTGTACGTCAATGGTTGGCTTGCATGAGTAGCAACCCACCTAATGCAATCTTAACTGATCAAACAGCTGCTATTCGTAAGGCACTGTCTCTAGAGATGCCTCCAGCACACCACAGATGGTGCATCTGGCATATAATAAAAAGCTAGGGAAGTGTGATGGGTAAGTATCATGGTCAAATATTTGAGTAGTTGTTTTCATATATTGGTTTTGTTAATGGATTAATTCTATATTTATTATATGTGATGCATTCCTGCCTGCCTCCATCAAAATTTAGCTCTGTTCAATGTACTAGCCCACGTCAGTAATTCTTTTTTTGCGGCCGTTGCAATGCATGTAGGTACCCTATATCCCAACTGACTATGTTTTCAAACACTGTTCTGATACTCTCCTTTGTATTATTGTGTGGTCAGTTTATGAAGGGAATCAATTTATTTTAAATGCTCTGTCTGTTTTAGGAGTCTCCTCACACTTCATATAACTATCCCCTTTTTTACCCCTTGCTGCTTCTCTTCTTGTATGTGTGTGATTGTGTTGCCGTTCTGTATTTAGATTAACACACACAACACAAACTGTTAGTATAGCTATATGTCCAATAGGCTGATATTGTTTAATGAAGGTGTTTTTGCACTGCTTGATATCCTAATTTTGCAGTTACAATGACTTTAAAAGCCCATTGAAGAAAGTCATTTATGAGAGTTATACAAAGGAGGAATTTGAGACTCAATGAAACTCTCTCATTACTCAAAACAAATTGGAGGAAAATGATTGGTTAGTTGATTTGTATGAGGAGAGGCATATGTGGGTACCTGCCTTCATGAAACATCATTTTTGGGCTGGGATGAAGACAACTCAACGTGTCGAAAGCATTAATATCTTCTTTGATGGTTATGTCAATAGGAACACACTGTTGCATGAGTTCCCTGTGAAGTATAATAGGGCAATGACGAAATGTGTTCGTGATGAAAACGATGCCGATGCCAGGTGTTCCAAGTACGAGAGACGTTTAGTTAGTGGGTTTAAGGTGGAGAAGATGTTTCAGAAGATATACACGGACACAAAATTTCAAGAAATTCAAAAGGAATGTTCTCTTTTGATGTATGTTTATCCCCGTGAAGAGCGCATTCTGCAAGACAATGTTGTCCAGTATCTTTTGGAGGATCGGGTATGGATTATTCCCGAAGGATCGAAGCAGGAAAAAATAACTAACCAACGCAGATTATTATGTGTTACCTTTAATGCGGAAACAAAGGAGGTTACTTGTGATTGTGGTAAGTTCGAAACCTTTGGAATTTTGTGTAAGCACTGCATCCGTGTGTTAGACCAAAATCTTGTGTTCGAGATTCCACAGAAGTACATACTTGAGAGGTGGAGAAAGTACATAGTGAGGAGGCACACAAGAGTAAAGGTGTCATACTATGACCCTTCTAATACAATTGAGGTCAAACGTTTCAACAAAATGATGACCAAGTTCGAGTCCATTTGTGAGGATGCCTCTACAATGGATGATCCGACTGTTGATTTGGTAATGGAGAGGCTTGCACAGCTTTCTACTGAAGTATTAGAGGCAAGGGAAACATTACAAAGCCAGAAAAATCCACCAAATCTGCCCAAAAATGACATACCTCCATCTGAGATTAGATCCAATAGCGCTCTAGCAGATTTAACCCCTCCATCTGTTACTAAAGTTACTGCAATTGCAACAAATGCCAACATTGACTTGATTATGGATCCAAAGACACGTAAAAAACCACGTGGTCGTCCCAAGAGTACCAGGTACAAGTCCTACGCGGAGACTGGATACAAAAAACCTCAAATCGATACACAAGAGCATGATCCTGCGCAAAAAAAAAAAAAAAAAAAAAAAAAAAAAAAAAAAAAGAACAGGTACCTGTTTCCCTTCTCTTTAATTATCAAATTTATGAATTCATGCTACGAAACGTCCAATTGTTTATTCCACTATGCAGGTGGTGAAGCACAAAGTTGCTTTGTGTGAGGAACAGGTTGTAGAAGAAACCCCGATCGTTCCGGTAAATGACTGACTCTACTGTTGTTATAGGTAAACCAGACACGACGTGTCATATGTATGCTATAATTATTTGTGTTGCATTTTGCACTGCTCACATCAGGTGAAAAGAAAACGCAATGGCAAAACTAAGAAAAAGGACCCAAATAATGCTAACGTCCAGGAATGCAACGACAACAGTACTGCAGCAACACCAGCTGACGATGACCTACAACTGAGGAATTTTGTGGGTTGGTCTTCCCTGTCGAACGCCTTCTGAAATGGAATTAATATGTTGGTCGTTTAACCTTGTAGACTTATCTTAAAGTAGTTACTATGATATCAATCAGTAGAACTTATTCGTGCTTTATGTGTAAGGATTTGAATTAGTGATCTGATTCTTAGTTATGATTTTACTTTGTATTTGCTACACTAGACTTTCTATGTGATTCAAGTATTTTGTTCTTCATGGCCTTCATCTCCGATTCCGCCCCCTAAACAACTCTCCAGTAGACATTACTTAATATAATGTACACTTATTCATAGTATATAGATATATTATATTAGCATATGGAAGTGAACTTGGTTTGTTGTAATGTGTCAAATCCGTCACTTATTCAGATATAGTTTTTATTAAACCAGAAGCAAATTTTTTTTTAAAAAATACACAACATATAGCTCAAATCACAATAGGTTCATATTATTATTACTTATTTGGGAAATACTAACTTGCTAAATTCCAACCACATCGTGACCGTATATTGGATCACTATGTCATCCAGATATGGACTACTTGTTACGGGTCCGTCTTAGTTTCATTTTATTTTGAGTGAGAGGACCTACTAAAATCACATACCATTAACCAAACAACCCAAAGTTGAATATTTTTCCTTACTTTGGATATCCTGGTCCTTTTGAAACTTGTATCGAAATACTAAAAGTTATAATGTTCTTCGGCCCAAACCAAAAATATCATTTTTAAGATTACTCATTCTGTTTGGCCGCCCAAGTTTAAAGACTCGTAACAAAAACATGTACACAATAGTGGTATTTTTAAAATCAAACAATTATCTCAACAAATTAATGAATCATTTAAATTAATAATAACAATTTTGGTGTTATAAATTTGGCACCTGTTTATTAAAAAAAAAATATTAACACAAACTAATACTTAGATTACCATAATAGTCCTGGCCAAATTTCACATCCACAAAATATTAGGCCGGTTTTCATTACAGATCCGTAGTACAAGTAATTTGGCCAAATTTAGGTACATCAAAAGCAATTTGGCCCACAACCCAACTCTTAGAAACACAGGTGACCTAATCAAAGTAGACTTATGATTAACACATATCACATAATTCCTACCTAATCGCATAAGAAAGCACATTAACAAACTATAATTACTAATTGACTTATATTAATACTACATAATAAAGTGCTAAAATAGACCATTCGCTTAAACACTATGAACAAGTCATCAAATTATTAGTCATTTATGAGCATTGCCACGATCTCATCTCCATTCTCTATCTTTGCACTGCCAATAGTAGCAACAGTTGCTAGAGTCTTCCTTTCATGGACGAACATCACCTTACTTAGATCCACATTGGCTGCCTCGGCCCATTTGTGAAACAAACTAACCAAAAGCGTGTCACTCCTGCTCGACACCTTGACCTTTATCGGGTCCCTTGCAACTTCAGTAATGTAGAGCACCTTGATTCTTGTATCAAGGTTTAGCACATGGGGCTGCACAATTATTTGATTCACATTAGATTAAATTAAACAAATTGTAATAAATCAACTATTTAACCATAACAAACAACATAATTAAGTGTGATAACTATATATTTTTACCAAAACGAAAATAAAAAACTAAAACAATAAGACTATACCTTGCCGATAGCATAAATAACATCACCCGTTTTCAAGTCAACATCTTCGGGCTTGTTGTACCGAAGGACAAAACCGTCATCCTTCCATTTCACCAACCTAATCTCTGAAGGTGACACATCAACCTTGTAAGCATATTCAAGGTAGATGTTTTCAAATGTCTCGTTGCTGTGGATATTATACATCACACCAACATCTCCGGGACGGAGGCTCCTACAACCACAGAGATGTTGGAGTGCCCCTCATCTGTAACGGGAGGATCTGCAACATCTAGGTCGATGTCAACCGGGACACTCATAAGGTCTTCCGCTACAGGGATACCCCTCAGATCAACCGTAGGCACTTCCTCAGCAGGCCACTTTCCACTCTTTGTAGCAAGAGAAGGCGCCGCAAATGGCCCTACAATAGGCATCACAAAGGGGACGTCGTCCTTAGGCTTCGCAAAGTTGTTAGTTAGTGCACAAAATGGTTCCAGCTCAATCTTGACGTCGGGTACACGCTCATTTTCAACAACTCCCTTTTCCGAGCTCTCACCTACATGTTCAACACCACCCTTGCTTGAGCTCTCACCAAACTCCCCAACAGATGGCTTCATGCAGAGGACTTCGTTACTGTGATCTAGAAAGGTAATTGCGGCATCAGCATTCTTCAATATAGTACTAATGAGCAAGGACCTGGTTTTCTGGTACTTCTTAACAATTCTCTTGGCTTTCTCGTCGGCACTGTTGAAGGGATAACGGGGAGGCTTGTTAGGGTTTGACATTTTCTTGGTCTTTTTTGTACGATTGTAATTTTAATTTTGGCTGGGTAATTTAGAAATGTAATGTTGTTTTTCTAAAAATCTTTATTTTCTTTTTTTTTGGAGGGGGTGGTTCAAATCTGTTTGAGAGTGTACTCTCATCTACTAAATTTGTATTACATATTTATAGGCGCCAAAATTAATATTTTCCCACCATTACCCTTGTCTACTAGGCGCCAAAAGTGTAAAGTTTTGAATATTTTTATAATATTGGTGGTGTTAGACGAATTTCATTTACACAGACGATTTATGATAAGTTTTGACAAAAATAAAAAAATATTACAATTCCACAGTACAACGTAGCATATTCAGTTAATAATTCGTACTGATTTTAAATAGATCGGATTTAATTAAATGTAATGGCCAATTTAGTAATTAAAAAAAATTATTATACATTTCCACCATACAACGTAGCATTTTAAATTTAATGTAATGGCCAATTTAGTAGCAACTTTTAGCAAAATTATTTTATACAAGTGGAGACTGATAATTATTTAATTTCCGTATTCTTGCTAACTTTGTCTATAGTCCTTCGTTATAATTTTAATTTTTTACTCAAATTTTTTTCAATATCCTTCTCACATACTGATATGTACATTTTAAAAACAATCCAAAGGAATACGTATGTCAATAAAATGGCCTCCAATTCAACCAAAGTAAGTAGACTCATAATATTCAATAAATGTAGTTACCCACCAGTATAAAACCACATTTCTCATATACCGGGGCACGTCATATTCAACCAAAAGAGACAATAACATCCTGTATATATAACTACACATCCAATAATTCTTGGACTATGAACCTCTATTAAAGGGTTTAAGGAATTAACAGGATAGACTACGTTTGTAGATATAGAGTAACGCAAGTGGCAATCCATTAGCAAATCTTATCATCTTTTCAACATTAGGTCATAGGTTATACGTGAGTTGTGTTGATCAAACTTCCTTGATCACAGTTCCCCTACTATCAATAGTTCACTACTAGGTTAACTTTCTTAAATTAAATAGAAAATTAATAATAAATACCTTCAAGAATTAGCTATTTTTTTCATTACGTAGCATACACTTATCATTATTAATTAAATTTAACATACACTACGATAATAGATAAAATTAGGAATTAATTTCGTCTTCCAATACAATTTAATTTTTTGTGTCGGTCCCATTGCATAATTTACTTTTGCTTGACAACACTTTGTCAAAAAATTAAGACTATGAAGTCTGTTTACGGGTCAACTCATACACTATGAACAACACAATACACCTAGTTGTACCACTCCTTTTATCCAATTTTTGAAGTCGTCTAACAGAAGTTCCTAATACTATTGTAGAGGCAATAAAATTTGAAAGTCATTTTTAATCAAAGATATTTACTTACACGGTTAATTTCATAATTCTCTTTTATGTCGGGAATATTTTAAGGTTTTCGTACATACATAAACAACATTTTAGGAGAAGAATGTACATAATTATTGACGAACTACCAAGATTATATCAATTGCTGTAAATTTTCCCAATAAACTTTTAATTTGGAAAATTTGGAACCACCACTAAGAGTTTCATCAATATTGCATTTACAAGCCCAATTAGGTTTTAGGTTTTGCTACGGTTTTTTTTTTTTTTTTTTTTTTATATTTTGCATATTTATCTGCCATCAAGTTTCATACACCTTATACCAACGTTTATATTGCGAAGATTTAGTTGCCTCTAATAATCCCAACCTAATAATTCCACTTATCCGCAAGTCAAATCCACCCTAACACTCGATGACATCCTTTCAACTGCTCAACAAATCCAATAAAAATATGTGTAAGAATCTATATATAGATACTTGATTACAGAAATGACAACTCCTTTATGAAGAGTGAATTGTTAGATACGAAGTACGAGTATATCATAGCATTATCCGGAAAATCGGACAATAACTTCGGTCATATTTCCAAGATTGTTTCATAGACTTAATGTTTTCTTAACAATAATTTGCTTGCAATCGACAAACCCTAACCCTAAAAAACGATAGCCAGTAATTAAGTCTCAAATACATTTTACTGATTAAATAATAAGTATACGATAGACTTTCATCTTTATTAGTTTTCAATATACACACCAAAAATTTCATTCACAATTTGGGATTATTAGAGGCAAATAAATTCATTGACAATTGGGTATTAACACGTAATATACGAAACATATATTAATAATGTTGACTTTTTAAATAATAAGTACACGTCATGTTAAACCTAAATATACATAATTAAAGGATATCTTACTTATAAAACTTATTATGTTGTTTATAATTAAATGATATCTTACTTATAAAACTTATACCAATAGAATTTCCGAATTAATATATCCGACTAGTTTTTTTGGAACGTGTGGGTCTGAGTATACAGAAAATAGTGTGTCGACCTGGTTCACAATAATATTATTTACACTTAACTAACATTATATTTCAGGACCCTGTTCGATCTGATTGACTAAATTGAATTGAAGTGAACTCAGCTGGACTAAACTGAACTGAACTAAACTATATTTCAACGGAAGAGAACATGCCCTCTATATGGTGACCCTATTTTAAAAATTAGA